ACTATAGAGTAGGTGTTTTAGTATCCGTCAGCAGTCTTGGGATTCAATTGCATTGGGATTCAGACTTTTATCAGAGTTCTAGTTTCTCAGACAAACAATGCTGATGAGTCAAACTCTCTTTTTGTGTTTTGCAGGAAACTTTGGCTGCAGAACGTTGGTAGTCCAAGCTCTCGAATTGACCGAGCCGTTTTCTCCAATGAAAGAGACATTTCTAAACCAGAGATCACGGGGTTTTCTACTCGCTACTGAGCATGCTCTGATTGCTCTATAGTTACAAGATCATCAGCCTGCAGCTCATCAACGGTGTCAAATGGTTAATTAATGAGCAGTTTTTTTAAATCTACAAAGGAAAGAAACGAAATTCTAAAAATATATATATATAAACTTGAGACTTTCCAAACTGCAACCAATTAAAAACATTTCAGTTCAATATCAAACATCTAATTATGTACAAAGAAGCAGAAAGTTTCTTTTATCATCTCTTAAAACTGATATGGGATTAAAGGGTTCTTGGTACAAAAAGGTCTTTGAATGATCAGGATTTATGGAGGAATATCAGTGAGTAAAATCAGTATTCCTGGAAATGTATCCAACACCTGTGGTACATCTTAACTAATATTTTGTGAAGAAACTTTCTCATTAACACCTGTGCATCAGATTACCAAAGACTCTTAATTTGTTTTTCATGTCCATTTATCAAAACTTTTTAAAAAGAGCAGCAATGTGTATAAATAAGGAAGAAATTAAGAAATAAAAGATCTAAAATCTTAAAATCTCAAGTACATTACTGTCTTTTTGCTTTCTTGAGCATTAAAGTCATCATTGCATCACCAGGACATGCATGATGTTAATTTTCTCTCATTATTGTTGCAGACAGATAATACATTTGTAAATGGAAATGTGAAAAAATGCAATCCAGATATAAAGCTTTTGAAAACCTTCTTAATCGAAAACAGGTTGTGAGAGTAACTTTGTTTTTTCAGAAATTTAAATTAATTTTTTTTCAAAAACTGAATCTTATTTTATCTTGCGATTTGTCTACCCTTTTTTTTTATTATTTTAGTTTAATTCAAGTTTTCAGATGTCTATTGTTCAGATTGAGGATAATAATATGCATTCTTTTCCAGATCTGCTGGTGATTCTCAGTCATCCAGGTCGTAGTCATTGCAAAAAAGTTAAAAACAATCTAATGGACTTTGTTTCCAAGTTTTAAGATGTTTCACTTTCCATCCAGGAAGCTTTTTCAGTTCAAAATGTCAGAAATAAGATTTGAGAGGGGCGTGGAGGAAGCCATCTATGTTAAGAAAGAAAAAACAACCTTAAACAGAGGGGGTGGATTCAGGTTTCAGCTTTCAAAAACCTACAATGCAGCAATTGAGTTGATCCCTTCCTGCCATCATTGCAGTCCCATTGCTTGACGTTAGCAACAACATTTTTATTGGTCAGAAGCTTTTGTATTGGGCTAGAAATAAAGAGAAGAGGATGTGATTGATTCAAATTGTTAAACTCAATCTAAATAAAAATAAAATTTGGAATAAAATAAATTTAAAATATTAATTAAAAAAAAAAATAGATTATAAACACATTTTGAAAAATAATTCATCCACTAAAGTAAATGAAAAGTGCTGGTCTGTATTAGTTCTTACCTTAGCACAGAGCTGTGTTTGTACAATCCAGTTTCCCTGCAGCTGCCTTTAATTAATTGGAGTCAAAAATGCTATTAGAGGCCAGAAATGGAATCATTTCAGGACTTTTCCAAATAAGTTTCCTCTAGAACCCCTGCTCCAATCCGGCCGATATTTTAGGGATTGAATATTTGTAAGACCCTCCATAGATCT